TTTTTTTTTTATCTCCCCCATACCATGAGCAAAAATCCCAAGTCCAGGAACCCCTGCCATCCCAAAGTGGATTTTTTTCACATCTCCATGCCATGAGGGAAAAAGTCCAGGACACCCCTGCCATCCCAAGGTGGATTTTGTTTAGATCTCCTCCATGCCATGAGGGAAAAAGTCCAGGACACCCCTGCCATCCCAAGTTGAATTTTTCTCAGATCTCCTCCATGCCATGAGGGAAAATCACAAACCCTAAAAGTCCAGGACACCCCTGCCATCCCTAGTTGAATTTTCCTCAGATCTCCTCCACTCCATGAACGAAAATCACAAACCCAAAAAGTCCAGGACACCCCCTGCCATCCCAAGGTGAATTTTCCTCAGATCTCCTCCACCCCGTGAGCGAAGATCATGACGAGCCCCGGCTCCAGCACCATGTCCTCGCCCATGTGCTGGTTCTCGCAGGCCATCACCACCACGGCCTGCTTGCCGGGGATGCGCTTGGCCACGTAGTTCTCGTAGTAGCGCCGGTTCATCTGGCGTGTCTCCAGCGTGGCCAGCCCCTGCGGCCAGTTGCGCTCGTGGGCGTTCTCGATCAGCTCGTTGGTGATGGACGCCGGGCAGCCGCTCTCCACCAGCGAGCGCTTGATGACGGCCTGCAGCACGGCGTCGGGCGTGGAGATCATGCCGCCCCAGCGCGTCACCCGCGCCGGCTGCAGAGAGTTCACCCACCTGGGGGGGCACGCGTGGGTCAGGGAGGGGGTGGGATTGTGGATTTGTGGGGGTTCGCCCACCTTAGGGGACACACACAGGTCAGGGATGGGGTGGGATTGTGGATTTGTGGGGGGTCAGCCATCTTAGAGGGCATAATGGGGTCAGGGAGGGAGGGGGTGGGATCATGGATTTGTGGGGGGTCAGCCATCTTAGGGGGCATAATGGGGTCAGGGAGGGGGTGGGATCGTGGATTTGTGGGGGTTCACCCAGCTTAGGGGGCATAATGGGGTCAGGGAGGGGGTGGGATCGTGGATTTGTGGGGGTTAACACACGTGGGGGGACACACAGGGATCAGAGATGGGGCTTTGGGGTGGATTTGTGGGGGTTCAGTCAGCTGAGAGGACACACAGGGGTCAGGGATGGGGTGGGATCATGGAATTGTGGGGATTCACCCACCTGAGAGGGCGTAATGGGGTCAGGGATGGGGTGGGATCATGG